GAATATGGGATCATGTAGCATATCTGAATACAGGCTGTCCTTCCACTAAATCTGGCTCATAAAAAAGTTTTATTTGGCTAGGTGCCAAATGTATATTGCACGTTAGACTTGAGAGTCAGAAATACTTGAGTTTATATCCTGCCTCACTCTTACTTAAGCCTCTAGCCAAGTCACTTACCCTCATAGCCTCAGTGTCCTCACCTGTAAAATGAAGATAATAATATAAACTGCTTGATAGAAGTTTGTGAAGATCAATTAAGATAAATATAAAGTGCTTTGTAAACTTTAAAGTACTATATAAATGCTAGCTACTGTTGAGAAGAAAGTAATAATAATGACAGATAAAATATTGATAAGAATGAAAAAGAATCTTTATGTGAAATGAAAGAAATGTAAATACATTCTCAGTTGTGTTGTATGGTCATTTTCTTGGAATTTTGCAGTGCATGCTTATGTGTTTTGTATTTTCCTTTCCAAAAAATAATCTTAATTTAGGGCTGAGTCCTACAATTTAACGTGTGTGTGTGTGTGTATGTGTGTGTGTGTGTGTGTGTGTGTGTGTGTGTGTGTGTGTGTGTATATATATATATCCTATATTATTGGAAGGGGGGAGCAGTGGTAGTGACAGTTCAAAACAATAGATAATTCAAATGTCATTTCTGTTTGACTTTGAAATGCATTATACAATTTTTACACATATGACCTGCCTCCTTAATTATATTTTGTTTGGATGGATATTAAAATTACTTTGAATTCCCTGGGCATACACCAGCTGGACAATGAGGAAAAGCAACTCTGGAGCCTGCTGGGTTGTAAGGAGAAGTCAGCTCAGGATTAAATATTTGTCATAGATAATCCCCATGGTAGATAATCTTATGAGTAATACAAAAAAACTCACTATCCCACCAGTTTTTAAACATTACATTCTCCCTATGGGTGGTACATGGGTACAATAGTAAAATTAAATGCAAACCCAAATTCTTTTATACTCACTGATCATCTTGGTCAAGTAATGGCTGTTTTTCAAGTCTATTGATAGAGAGAGAGAGAGAGAGGGTGTGTGTGTGTGTGTGTGTGTGTGTGTGTGTGCGCGTGCGTGCGCGCACACATGCATCATATCCTTCTCCATGCTCATGTACTTATTTGCATTCTATTTCCTGTGCATTGAATGTATTGTCATTGTAAAAAATTATTCCATTTCAGGAATCTTACACCCCAAATGATTCATTGATAGATACAGCCTCTGTGGTTGTCTTTCAAAGTAGTTTTAGTAATCATTGTATGGAAGACAAATGTGATAACACTAATAATTAAGATAGGTAGACACTGAAACGGTATAATTTGTTGAACTATTGATAACATAGCAAATACTTAAGAGTAACTTTTTAAAAAGTGAAAGTACTCATTTTAAAAATGCCTCTTACAATGAAATTACATAGATTACATAATAACTACTTTAAAAGTAATTCATTTTTCCATTAAGTTAAACTAAAACAAAATACCCTTTGATTTACTAGGTTAATATCCACCTTTACTATACCTACCCCAGACCCTTTTTTAGCTATTCAGTGTACATTTACTGATTTGATTTAATTTTATTTCAATGTACTTAACTATTTTGGGAACTTTATTATAACTATAAATATGGTTCAGTCCAGTGAGTGAGAACAGTGAGATGCTGGGGATTTCTTTAGGATCTATCCATTCTTTTTTTATTCATTACAGTTTGGTCTGACAGCTGTCCTTGTGATGACAGTTTTTGTGATTACAGCAGGTGTCAAACTCCATCCTTAGACGGGTTGTAAATACTGGTCCCTTCCAATTAAAGCTGGGGTCAGATCCAATAGAAGGGCTAAATAGAGGCCAGTATTCTACTATCATATGTCCTTACCAGTTCATACCACATGGACATTAGGTAGCAACATACTACAGCACCTGTTTGCCTCCATTATACTTTAGCATTCACTGACCTTCAGGAATTGGTGCTTCTGTTATTTTATGATTAAATATGGTCCTCTTTGAAGAGTTGATCGGTATGAATGTGATCTTCGTCATAAATGGCCTGTTAGTCTTTTCCCCCTCCCCCTTCTCCACCGGGAATACTAACATCATTGCTTCTATGTCTCCCAGAGGAAATCAAGGCTTTTCCTTGCACATGTAGTCATGTGATTTCAGAGTGGGCTGGCTTTGTATCCTCATGGGCTCTCTATCTTCCCTGTAAAGCACCATCTGTTCTGCTCCTTCCATGCTGTTTCAGGGCAGTGGGAGGAGACATTAGAGTGAAAATAAATAAAAATTTTTAAAAAAGAAAGAAAGAAATTCATCATCAAAACCCTGAGGATTAATGGAGTCAGAAGGCAAACTGTGCTGAATGAAAATTCATCTTCACCTGTGCCAGTGTCAGGGCTGCCTCTCTGGCACTTGACAAATAGAGGTTCCCAGGGTACCATAAATTCAGCAGCTGTTCTAATCCCTAGAGACTTTTTCAAGCTTTTCCGAGATGGGCTGATGACCATTTTTGGATTTCCCAGCACAGTGTGAGCACCAACACATTTCCTCATTGTTTTCATATAGAATTCAACCCATTTTCCCTCTTAGCACACTTCTCCTATCTGCACCTTGCCCTTTTTTGGGTTTGTTTTGAGAGAGTGGGAAGTTCATGAGTCACATTTAAAATAGTTTGTCCCTGTGTTTAACTGAAGATGCAGATATTAGTCAACAAGTATTTAATGATCACCTGCTAAATGCCCAAGACTATGCTGAGTGTTGTGGGGGATACAAAAAGCCATAAGACGTGACCTCTGCCTTCAAGGATCTTATAGTCTAAATAGAAAAATAAGACATAAATAGATAAAAAAAATTATGTAACAGTGAAAAGCAATGTATAGTAGGGGCCAGTTGGATGATTCTATGTCAAAGATTCTAGGAATTACCTTTCAGATTCTTCCTTCACTCACCACTTTACCATCTTCCAGTAGAGTATTCCCATTAGGGGATTCTTCATCTTGTCAAAGTACTAGGCTAAAGAATCTTGACTTCTTTTCATTTCCTTTACTTCATCTCTTCAATTTACTGTTTTTCCTCTTTCTGTAAACACAAACAGCATTTTAATAAAGGTGACACATAGTAGGCATTCCCTGTGATTATACTATATCTCTGACTGAAGACATACTGTGATCTTTATCCATACCTTAAATTCTGTATTTAAATGTTTTATTCAGATTAGGTTAGATTTGACAGATTTGATCTTAAATTTTATTCATTCCTGCCAACAGGCATGTTATTTAGAAGGTCAAGTTCCATACAAACATAGGTATGCAAAGATTACATCGCACCTCCCATAAAGTAGTTTCTATCATAATGATGCTCCTCATCTTTGGGAAGCTAAGTGGGTTTTATCTTCATTAGTAACAAATATTTGTCAAATCGCAGTAGCAGATCATGTCCAGTCTCAAAGTAGGATTGAACAAAATCTGACCTGAAATGTCTTGGTTATTATTATTTGGGATTACAGATTAATATGGTAGGCACAGTCTTCCTTTGTTGATGGGTGAAAGGACTTGATTTTATTGAAGCATATCCAGATGTTTCACTGAAGTAGAGATTGACAGCCAGAAACATTTTCATTATAGTAACAATAGGAAGGTCAGATGATTATTGCTCATGATATAGATTCACATAGCTATTTATATGAAGAAAAAATTAGTCATTTTTTTCTTCTCATAGTGACTATCAGACAATGTATCTTTAACTTTATTCTTTTGCATGCCAAGTGACAGTCTTTTGTTTGGGACTCGGTTTAATGCCATTGGTTCCCATTACCACCACCACTGCTAGTACCTTCATGCTGAGATTACCTTGCATTTACTCTGCATATACCTGGTATGCCTATAGCTTTTTGCATGTTGTCTTCTCTATTACAATGAGATCTTCTTGAGGTCAGCATGTAGATGACTTTGGTGGACCGGAGAGAGAGACAGACAGACACCTCTGGGTTTACCCTAATCCTGTTCTTCTTTCTCTGCCATTTGAAGAATCATCAAAACTGACTGAGGAGGGCAGTGTGTGCAGATGGAAAATACCTCGAAAGTGTGGCTTTAAAAGTCAGGTACCCCCAATAAGTAGCTACCAGGCCCTACAACCAAAAGTAAGTTTGAAGATTCCAGGAAGGGAGAACTCTGAATGGTCAGGGAAATAGTTTTGCTCCTTACCTAAGATAGCACACCAGCAGAGGGAAAAAGGGAATGTCATTATAAAATCATTTAAAAGTCCAAGAGTAGATGAATACAAACTGTAGCCAAAAATGTAAGTGGAAGGTTTAATAACTGATATTAATAGTTTATGCCTGTTAAGGGGTTGGGTTGTTTGGGGTTTTTTTTTTTCAGCCTTATAAATGCATCTTCTGAAGGGCACAGTTGGGAAATTTCCACATTCCACATGGTCCTTGCATACTCATTTTCCCTGCATGGAAAGAATCTACCTGAAATACTGCTTTGACCCAGATGGCCATTATGATGAAACAGATTAATCAGAATTCATTAGCAAATCTGAGCTGTTTAGACACAGAACAAACAACATGAAACTTTCTAGATGAGTCATAGGCAGTCTATGGCATGGGTGCCATAAAATGGACCACTGAAATAAAGTTATTACATATATTTAACCACTAAGTTAAAATCCACATGTTCACAATTAAATATCTTTCTCATTCTTGTTTGGATACAGGTCAGAATAAATGACTTCTGAGATCCCCTACAACTGAATGTGTGTAATTCTCTGAAATGTGCTAAATATTTGTATATCCCTCTCAAGGCAATGAACAAACTAAATTTTTTCTAACTCTTGAGTATTCAAACGTACTATTTGTCAGAATTATGACACTATAATCTTACAGCACTATAATAGTAAACATTGTAATACATTATGACTTTTTGATTATCACTACTAATGAGATATTGTAGTTTTCCATTCATATCATACTAACCTTTTTTTCTCTTTAGCCTCTGCCTGTGAGTTCTTAGACATTGTGGAACTGCTGCTGAAGTGTGGAGCTGACCCCACCCTACGAGACCAGGAGGGCTGTCTGCCTGAGGAGGTGACAGGCTGTAAAGCCGTCTCTTTAGTACTGCAGCAACACACAGCTGGCAAACCTTAACTCCACAGCTGGGAAGCTACAGCCTTTACTAGCCCAGGGCTTCAACAATGAAAGAAAACTGCAATAATAATAACCCTTCTCTGCCATTCTTCTTTGGTATGCATTGGCTAATGAGGAATAGGACACTCAGAGATGTTGACTGGTGATTCAAAGCCTCTGCAATTCATTCTATCTGCATACATTGGGGAGAATAGATGAACTTATGTGCAGTACATAATATGATCTAGTTCTTTTGAGCATGCTCTGATACTTATCAAAGCTCAAGAGGGCGGGGAAAGGAAGCAGATCATCTTTCACAACATTAAATGTGACTGCTCTTTAAAATATAGATATATAAGCAAAAAGTGACCATTTTATACAGAAAATGAGGGCATCTATTCATGAAATATCTTATTTGGTGGTAACCAAATGGTCAACGGAACTAATACAACTGGACTAAGTAGACATTCCAAGTATACTTCTCATTTGACAGACAAATTTGAAAAGGGAAGAGGAGGTAGTGGTCAAAAACAATAAGGAAAGAGTTCTTTTGCATTCTTTGAGGGATGTGGAAGACATAAGGAAGATCAGCTGTTTTATGACAACCTCCAAACCTTCGGTGTTTAGGATAGGATCCTGTAAATTCTCTCAGAGGAAGAGATTTTGATGATGGACAAAGCACCGGTTAAGCCAGTATTCTTCTCCTAACCAACTTGGGACAGGGAGAGAGAGGGATTTTCTTAGTAGCCAACCCTATCTCTCCAGCTATAATGTTTGTGTCAGAAGGATTTCAGCATTATGTTAAGTAAGAGTCTTTTAAGGTCTAGTGTGAAATGGTACACACAATTACCTAGTGCTTTTGAGGGTGGAGTGGACACCAAGGTATCCTCTATTAAGTGTGTGGATGCTTTTTAAGCAGTGTGCCCATGCCCATCCTGGGCTCTAAGTTTGCCTTTTTATCCTGACTGAACCTAATCCAGGAAACTCTTTTCAAAGCTATTATTGTACAGATCAAGTAGCTCATTCAGTAGGAAGTTAGTTTGAGGTTTGTAATCGATATCATCAGACTAGTAGCAGGCAGTGTCTCAGAACTTTGGTTGGTGTTGAAGCTTTCCATCAGCTCATACTCCCCAGGGAGTGCTTCCATGGTAGGAATCAGGTGTGTTGATTAGTGCCTCTCTCCTGTTGGATTGCTCTCAAGCTTACTTGAAGACTTAGATCTTCTAGGATATTGACCAGCATCTTTCACCAGTATTCAGTTTTTTAATTGTTTAAAAATCTGGCGTGCATGTTAGAGCCTCCTGAAGTTTCACTGACATTCCTACAGAACTTTGTCATTACCTTGGAGCTCCTCTCACAGCATTCAAGCTACATTGCAGCTCACTTTGGCTTCATTCCACTGTGTATCCTTGTGTGTATAAGAATCCTCCTCTCCTGGTTGCAGCCAAAATGCAAAAATTGTTGCATGCCCTTTTAAAATTAATGTTATTTTGTGCATATTAGTAACAAAGCAAATTTAGTAAAGTTTTTGTTCTATACAGGCTTAAAGGGCAGCTGCTTGGGCCCACTGACTTGTTTTGACCCAATTCTGCAAACATTTATTAATCACCTGCTCTGTGCAAAACACTGTTGTCTTTTGTCAACATTTGGTAGTCTCACCTTGATATGTATTAGCCAGGCTTTTAGTTTTCTGTTCTCTCTCACCAAAACAAAGTCAATAGAACTTAAGTGCAAGATAGCATTTATTTTTTTATTTATTTCACTTTAAGATTTTTTGAGTTCATTTTTACAATTTTAGGTCATTAATTGAATATAACCATCAGGAGCTTAGATGGTTAGATGGTTTAGCAAATGCATTCTAAAGCCAGCTTCAAAATATTTAACTCTTTAGTTAAGTTACCAAGACGTGAATTCAGGAAACTGTCTTCCAGAAGCAGTTAATGTTATTATCATACAGAGCAGCCTGTGAATTACCTCTTTATATCATAAGGGTTGTGTTGGCATTATCTATTACAACAGTTGAAACCTGGTTTTGATTCCCCTTTAACTTTTCTTGAGTTATTATAGAAATAATTATGCTCCTACCTTGAGCATTTTAGATTAGGATTCTTTGAGTTTCCTTGCCAAAAGTGGAGGGGCTACTCCCAAACAAAGAATATATTTTGAGGCAGAAACTCAACTAGTCATCCGAAAACCTTCTCATGGTGAGTACATGATGAGCTAATGTTTCCATACTACTTAATTGGATTTTCCAGTAGTTTGGCCTAAATGTTACCATACCTGAAGTCAGAAAATGTATATTCAGATTCTGGCCCTGATAATCTTTGTGACTTGGAGTAAGTGTCTTTACCCCCCTACACCTCAGTTTCCTGTATAAAATGAGAGGATTGGATTAGATGATTGTTCATGCCCCTTTCAGCTCTAAACCTTATAAACAAATTGATTTGAAAGAGGAAATGTTTTAGTGTGGGTTCAGCTGTGAATTCTGGATATGTTAACAACAATTCAAATGAATTATATTCAAAAATATAATGGGAAGTATTTTGAAGCAGTTATTTCTGATTCTACTATGGGAAACAACAAGAATGTTAAAAATCCCTTTTCAGATACCACAGTTATTTGCGGGAGAAGGGGAGGAATAGTTTGAGTTTTTATTGGCACAGATATCCGATTCCAGATCTTTCTTGTTTGGTATTTCTAGTGGAACAGAGCATTGTAAAATTTGTACCACAGTCAGTTTCTGTGGGGTTAGAGCAATCTTTGCGTTAGAAGAACAAATCATCTTGAGTGATGTAACTAAAAAGTTCTCAAACCTTGTTTGAGATTGTCTTTGCATCCTTACTCTTTGGCCTTTATCACTTTTCACCTTTTTCATTCTGATTATCATTCTTAGTTCAGGACTCTACTTTAAAATCTCGTCCTCAGTGCCCTAGTACCAGCATCTACCCATAAAAGCACAGCTGACCATCTTTTTCCATTTCCCAACAAAGGTATTTAATAGGATTTCCCTTCTTACTGAAGATATACCCTCAAAATATCACTGTTGATTTTTTTTTACTCTAATAATGGTCTGTAGCTGAGGGCTTTGTCCTAGTTGGAAAGGGTGAGTGGTGATCACATTGATATGTAATAAACCTTTCAGTCTAATAACCCAAAATGTCTAATTTTTGCTAAGTATACTAGCTTTTAAGTGTAGAAATCTTCTAACTCTTTGGGTCTCCATTTTTAAAAACTAAATTATACTTTAAAAGAAAGGCAGTCAATTTTTATTATCCAAACATTCACCCTTCTTCCCAAGCAGTCCTGTGGCCAGGTACATTATTCGGATTGACACCTCTCGAGAAGGTTTTTACTGTCATCCTAAAACTTCTCTTCTGCATCCTCACAAGGTTTTACTTTCTTTAAGTTCTGGATTTGGAATAAAGGCCCTGGGTTCAAGTCCTAGGTCTGCCACTTACTAGCTTTATGGCTTTGGGCATGGTACTTAACAGCATTTGGTCTCAGTTTACTCATCAGGTGAATGAAAGGGAGAGGGAGAAATGACCTACCTTTAAGATCATCTTTAAGGTTTCTTCTAACTCTGTGAGCCTCTGAGTATAAGGAATTGAAAGAGATCATATAAAGTATCAAATGGGGACAAAACAAAATGTCTCAGTTTATCACCCAGACTCTTTCCTGAGGCTTATTTCTTTGCCTTTCCCACTCTTTCAAGAGTTAGAAACTTTTTGTGGACTTGTGATACTTTTAATAGTTTTTAGAATCACAATCCAGATGGCTTGTCAAGGAAAATACATACTCTGTATGTATATTGAGTGTGTCTAGTTTCTCACCAACATCAGCCTTCTAAACCTTGGATCTAGAATCATAAAACCACAAAATATTAGATCTGGAAGAGATCCAAAGCTATCTTGTCCAGTCCTATTGTTTCATAGATAAAGCAGCTAAAGCTTCCTCCCAAGGTTTGGGTGGCACCCAAGATCTCTTCAGGAAAATGCCTTGAAGGGCAACAACAAAAACAAACAAAAAAATGATTTTTATTTTAGAGCCCAGTACTCTGCGGCTATGAATTATGGAATATAAGGCATCAGAGCTGCAGGTTACACAACAAGCAATGAAGATGCTTTGTAGGATTGATATCGATGATTGAAGCACATTACCAACAAAGAATTATAAGCAAAAAGATTGATGAAAGATGATCAAATAGATATATTATGGGGTGGCCATGGAGCAAGGAGTGAGGGATAGCAAATGTACATTCTAGGGGGCACTGAGGATAGCAACTCCTAGTACTTCGTGTGAAGCCCCTCTGCAGAAATTTATTACAGGACCTGATTGAAAAGACTTGGATGGGTCGTGAGCTGCGCCCCTGGGTGGAACACCCACATCAGAGAGATCCCAGAGTCAGGATAGCTGAAGTATCACTTTTAAGTGAAGAGGTTGGACTAGATCATCTCTGAGGTCTCTTACAACTCTCTATTCTATAATCCCTTTAAAAACCTTAGAGAAACCTTTAAAAAGGTAGCACCCAACACTTTGAATTCATGGAGTAAACTGCTTAATTCTTTACCGTTTAATCTCTTTAAAATCACTTCTTGGCAGAAAAGCCACACACAGATGAGCTGTCATTTAAATAATAATGCCTGTTTTAACTTTTCAGAGTGCTTTACCATGCATTATTGCATTTTTTCTTCACTGTACATCTGTTAAGTATGTAGGACAGGTACTGTTACTGAAGAAACTAGGGATATGTAAAGATTCACTGGATTACCCAGAGTAACCCAGCCAGCTAGCTAGTGGCAGCACCACTGTTAAGACCAGGTTGATGTGATGACAAAGAGGGACATTTTTTTTTTAGTTTGATAATCCGCAAAGCCTCATTTGGCATGGTGAATTACAGCATAAATAATGACTCCTTAATGATAAGAGGCCCTTATGGCTCGGTTGTATCAGCCCCCAACTCTAGCCCTGGTGTTAGTCTACTCCAGCCTAGAACTAAGATCTCTTAACACCCAGCCCTCTCTCCTCTGTTCATTGCATTATTCAGTGCAAGGCTTCGTTAGGCTAATATATCCAACAGGCATTTATTAAGCACCTACTATGTAAATCAGCTTCATAAGTGTGGGAAGATGGAATAATGGGAGATAGCAGTTTGTATGAAAAAGATCTGGGGATTTTCATGGATGTAAACTCAATATAAGATAGCAATGTGGCATGGCAGCCAAAAAAACTAATGAAATCTTGGCCTGAATTAGAAAGACATAATTTATGGGGATAAGGAAGTGATAGTCCTTCTGTACTCTGTCCTAGTCAGACCACATCTTTAGCATTGTGTTCAGTTCTTGGTGATACAGGTTAAGGACATAAACTGGAAAATGTCTAGAGGAAGGCAGCCAAACTGCCTTGAATCTATGTCATACGTAGAGATTGGTTAAGACAACAAGTAATGTTTGGCCTGGAAAAGAGACGATTCAAAGGGAGACATGTTAACAGTGTTCAGGTATTTAAAGGGCTGTCGTGTGAAAAAAGAATCAAACATGCTTTGTTTGACCTGAGGGCAGAACCCGCATCAATGGATAGACATTGAAGAGAAGCAAATTTAGGCTTGATTTCAGGGGAAAACTTGCAGACAATCAGAGCTGCCCCAAAATGCAATGAGCTTCCTTGAAAGGTGATTCTTTCCCCCTTGTGGGAAGTCCTCAAGCAGAGAATAGTTGACCATTTGTCAGATGTTATAGTGAGGGTTCCTTACAGTTTTAGGTTAGACCAAATGGGTCACCAAGGTCCCTTCCAACTCTAAAACACAATACATGCAATAAATAATTAAGTACATAGTATGTTCAGACCATGTGCAAGTTGCTGCTGGAAATGTAAAATTTGAATTAGACAAAATCCCTTGCTCTCAAGGAGTGTGTCATCTTAGTATAGATTAAGAAATCAATAGATATAGCTGTTTTATGCAGTCTTTTCAGTAATGTCCAACTCTTCATGGCCTCATTTGGGTTTTCTTGGCAAAGATACTGGAGTGGTTTGTCATTTCCTTCTTCAGCTCATTTTACAGATGAAGAAACTGAAGCAAACAAGGTCAAGTGACTTGCCCAGGGTCACACAGCTAGTAAGTGTCTGAGGTCAGATTTGAACACAGGTCTTCCTGACTCTAGGCCCAGCACTCTATCCACTATACCACTAGCTGCCCTAGACATAGCTATAATATATAGTATTAAAAGATAAGTACATTACAGTTACAAACAAAGAGGAAAAGTTGTTAAGGAAAATTGAAGAAGATTTCAAGAGGGAAATCACATTTAGTTGAACTTTAAAGGACACCTAGGACTTAAGGTATTGAAGAAAGGGAAGGAGGACACTCCAGCCAGAGGATACAGAGTGAGAATGGTGTGAATACTCCACCACCACGCATTCCACCAATACCATTGATAATTGAGAATTGGTTCTATAATGTCTCAATGTTTCATGAGGTCTCTCAAAAACAGTCTTTCCACAATACATGAATATCAGAACATAATTCAGAGTTAAGCTCATAATATAACCATGTCTCTAATGAAGATGTGAGAATTATAGACCATTTTCCACATATTTTATATGAAACATCACATAATTCTATCTGAATCTCTTTAGCCAGAAGGATAGCAGTAGAAGCAGAGATGTAGAATCATCTGTTAGTTTTTTTTTAATGTTTCAGCATTTTCTAGCTAAAAGGTTGCTATTATCCAGTGAACCTTTTTATTAAATAGGTATTTCTTTGCTTCCTGCCAGCTTTAACTACTTGGCTGTGGCTTATTGTTCCACATCCTGGACACTGCAACGTCTTTGAGGATTAATGTACCAGGTCTAGGATAGCAGCATGGCTGAGCTTTGTTTGTTGGAGGGTTAAGTCATAGACCTCATTGAATAGCTATTTCAGTTACACATAGAGATTTTTAGATTTTTTGTTGTTGTTTTTAAACTGAAATGTGACATTTTATTTTCCCAACATCTGTGTTAAATTTCAAGCTTTAGAAGTCCCCTCAGTAAATCAGGTTATGTTCTGTGTAGAAGAATGTGGGAAATAGCACACTCTCTAGTTACAAACCAGTACTTATTAAATTCCTCTTCCTATCGTGATTTATTGTTATTTGAATTGTTAAAATGTTGATCAAAATAAAAGGAACCAGTTCCCAAATTCATTTTCCAGCTTCTTTATCCCTTGCTCACCAAAAAAACTTTGTCTAGTTTTTAACCTGACTTAGATTTTATATAGCAAAAAATCATTATGGTATATAAATATGCCCTGAAGTCTTCATTAAGCAGTTTAAAGTGGCCTATACTTGGCATTGTGTTTTTCCCTCTGGTAAACTCCCATTATAAAATACCTTGCTATTGCATGGATGGCATCATGTTGTGGAAGAGATCATGTCCCTCGGTACAAAGTGATGTACAAGAAAGTGTTGCTTTCTTCATAGTGTAGCCTCTTCAGAGTTGGCGCCCCTTCCTCAGTTGTTCTTAAGTTTTTAATATTTTTTATATGAGGATTAGAAAATTTAGTCAATTTAGAATTTGATCTGCTCAGAGAAACAGTTACACAATATTGTGATGGTAATAAAATGATTCATGATTATTTGAAACATTGACTCAGTTATCTTTTAATTGTTTCAGTACCATTTCATAATGGCTGAACTATAGATTTTCATCTATAACATTAAAGCCCAGTTAACATATTGAGAGCTGACTGAGAAAGTAATTATCAAGTGTAAGTTTTAAATGAAGAGAAACAATCCCTTTCTAGAATAACAGTCTCAAGAATACCTGAGCATACTACTTGTAATCCTGGTCTACAGTTTAATATACACAAAGAATGAGGAATCTTAAAATAATCTATTAATTGGCATTAGGCAAGGAGAAATCATTTAGACCTAGTCCTTGGTTATCTTTCCTGTCATCATATCATATTCCTGTTAGCTCTGAGACAGAGAAAATTCCAAATCATCTCAAGCCTGATCCTTATGAAGAAAAACCTATTTCAGAATTTTCCTATTTGTAATTTTATCTTATTACTGAAATGAATTTCAGGATTTTGTTTTCACTGCTTTATATGTTGGGTTTTGTTTTGTTTTGTTTTTTTTCAAAATAAATGTCATTATTTAAAAGCTGTCTGAATGCCCCTTCTTTAATTAAAAATTAAACATTTCTGAAGACAGCCAACAAGGCCTTCTGTAACTAGAAGGCTACATTAGGAGATAATAACAAGAAATACAGGTATAGTTGTCTTCAAGTTTTGTGCTGGCTTATGTGATTTAGATGTCTACTTCTTGGCCAGTGCTGCATCTTTGTTACTGCTAATATTGTTTCTCACCATCCTTATGTTCTTCCTAAACAAAAAACACTGTATGTTTCTACAGCATTTTACATGTATGTGCCTTTACATGCATTATTTTATTTGAGCTTCACAATGAAATTGAGATGTAATACCAATATCCCCAATTTATAGAAAAGGAAACAGACACACACGAGGTTGTGACTGACCTCAAAGGCTGTCTTTCATCCTTCCATTCATTTTACAAATGAGGAAACTGACACCAAGGAAAGTTAAGTGCCTTGCCCAAAATCACCCACAGCATCAGAAGTGAGATATGGACCCAGGTCCTCTGACTAGAGTTGGTTCTCTGTTCACCATACCACACTGCCAGTCTCACACAAGTAGTAACAAGTGGAGCCGTGATTTCATAGGTTACTGATAAAAAAAAAAAAAACACACACATTAGAGTTGGCCAGGTGCTTTCTTCACAACAATGCTGTGAGGTCAATATTGTGATCCATTTTATTTTCCAGGTAAGGAAAGTGAGGCTTATAAAAAGCAAAAATGACTTGCTCAAGGTCATTCAACTGGTATTTATTGTCAGACAGTAATCAAACCCAGATCTCTCCTAACTCCAACACATTTCCCACACCAACTTGCTGCTCAGAGAAATAAATAACTTGCCAAGATCAGTGACAAACCCATGACTCTGATTCCTTTCTGGGGCATTTTCCTACGCTGTGCTACCTACCTTCCCAGTTGTCCCCAAAGGAGTAATTGTTGGGGATAGCTTCTAATTTCTGGGGCCACCAAGAAAACTGAAGTTAAAAGATGGTTTAGAATCTCTAAACTAAGATGAAGACAACACTATAAGCTGCCCACTTCAGAAATGGCACCTAGAGAGCTAAGAATCCCTTCCCAGACTGAATCCCATATGCTATTCCTCTTTTGATGTGAAGAAGTAACCTGTACAGTGGCTGTGAACTTGTAGGATGTCGGGAAGAGAAGTGACCTTCATGCAGAGCTTGAGCAGCAGTAACACATTCATCCTTTGCACCAGGGCCAGGATTTATTTCTCTCACTTACATGGCAATCCTGGTTTGCATTTTAATATTTGGAAGGTAAGTTCAGCTTGATGGACACTTTGCGTAATAAAACATTCTTTTAAAATACACACTCACACACCCACATATGGATGAAAAGTGGCCTGACCAGTGCCCACAGCTTTCATGAAGTACATTTGTGGAGCTCAAAGCTTAGTCCTGGATATGTTTATAGCACTTTAGCCCTGTTTGTGAGTTTGGAGCCCTTCCAAAAAAAGAAAAGAGAGACATATATTATTGTTTATAATCTGCTTTATTCCACCAAACCTTTACTGAACAGACTTGTGGATTGCTGTTTAAATCCCTCAGTGCCTTTAACTACCGATACCGAAAGTGGTTAATGCGCATTCTAAATGAAGCTTGGCATCCACTCTAGGAAATCACTTTAATTGAGAAGCATTAAATGTTAAAATGATTAAAAAGTATAAAGCCAATGCACACTGAGTATAAAGGGCCCTGGTTCACCAGTAACATGGTTCCTTTTTATAGTGTTCTCTCCAACTTGGATGAGCCCTGGCCATTTGCAGGTATCTGCTGCAAAGCAAGACTGTCTTCTAGGTCACTGCCTGCAGCTGGACAGTAAGCAGACAACAAGAAAGGATACTTTCTGAAATCACGTTGTTTCAGAGAATTATGGGATGCACAAACATAGCAACAGGGGAGGGTGTCATCACCACAATAAATGCCTTTCTGAGATGAAAGCCATGTCCCAGGTGCCCAAAATGTGACAGATTTAACCCCCAAATCATCACCTGCACTTTCTGCTTCTGTATACAGAAACCTACATCTGCCTTGGTGGCATGGTTTAACCATGCCCATGGTTTCACTGGGGCATGAGCCAAAACCCATTTGGGTTCATGTTTATATTAGTAAATAATGTGCTCGATTTCCAGTAGGAAACTGCTGTTACAGAAATGGAGAACCAGTGAGGGATGGGTTGAAAAAATTCCTTTTGTTGACTGTGTTTCAGAAGGTTCAGTGGGCTTGTGGTCTGATTTAATTGCATGTATTGATATAGCAAATGTATCTTTTTTGTTGTTGAATTTTATTCCATCCTAGAAGTAAATATCCTAGGAATTTTTCCAGCCTGGACTAAGTGAAGTAACATTATACTTAATACCAACAAATCTTT